CGGGCAGCGCGTGCCGGGCTTCTCAGGGGTCCGGGTCACTGTGAGGCTACGGGGTGGGGGTAGGGGTGCCACAGTCTCCCCGAAGCCACGTCCTCGGCCCTGTGGCCCTCCTGAGCCAAAGTCCAGGGCCGGCTGTTGGCAGGAGGCCTCTGCTTCTCTGCGTGGGCTTCGGAGGGGCTCCCGGCCGGGCAGCTGGCTTCTCCGGAGTGACCCAAGAGGCAGCCAGCAGCAGCCACCATGTCACCACGTCTGCAGCCTGCAGTGGCCTCCGGTCATTTCGCCCATATCCTGCTGGGCATGCGGGCCCCAGCGCCGTGGCAGAGCCTCACGCAAGCAGGGACCGACCAGGGAGACACAGTCGCGGGCCCTTCTAGAGCCCCTGCTCCCCAGGAGCTCACCCCCTCGTGGCCACCACACCTGGCTGTGGATGTTGTTGTCTGAACTATGAGCACGATTTATCAGGGCCGGTATAGAAGAGCCCTCTCTTCCTCCTCTATTTATTTGTTCTTTAATTGAGAGGAGTATGAACGACAGGATTCCTCTTTTTTCCCAGTCCTAGGGATTGAGCCCAGGGCTCTGACACAGAGCCCAGGCCCCAGCCCTATCTAGTTGTTTATTTACTTTTACAGTCCCGGGGATTGAACTCAGGGCTTTTGCACTGAGCGATTCCCCTAGCCCTTATTTTCTTTTTAAAACTTTGAGACACAGGCTCGTTAGATTAAGTCGTCCAGCCTACTGGCCGGGGCTTGAACTCACGATTCTCCTGCCTCAGTCTCCCAGAGTGCTGGGCTGGCAAGCGTGCCACCGCGCCCCGCCCGCATCCTGTCCTCTTACATTTATTGATTTTCTCAGTCCCCTGTGTACAGTGGAGCACCAGCCACCGGCTGACCCAACACCGTCATCAGAGACCCCAGCCCTGCCAGGCGGCCCCCTGCTCTGTGCCCAGGACCCCCACACGTGGCGTGGGACATCCATTCCTCCACACTGAGCTGTGTGACCCACAGTTATTCAGGAAGTGCGGTGTGGATTGCAGGGACCTCTCCGGTGTGGGAGCAAGGATCAGTCTGGCTCTCCCATCTCTCCGGGGTTGGGGGGTTTTCCTTTGTTTTTTACCCTCTGCATTCGGATAGAAAATTCCTGAGGTCTCTGGGGTCTGGGGAGTCTGCTGGCTGGATGTGAATTTCCCAGTCCAGCTGAAGGTGTGGGTTCCTTGAACCCCCCGAGTGGTTCCTGTAGGCTGTGCTTTCCCAGGAAACCGTGGGTCTCTTCCAAGTTTTCACATTTATCGGTATAAAATGGCTTCAGTGTTTCTCTTATTTTTTTTTAACCTCTATAATATCTGCAGCGCATCACTTTAGTTTTGTTTTACAGTACTGGGGATCGAACTCAGGACCTTGCGCTTGCGAGGCAGGCAGCAGCTCCACTGAGCTAAATCCCCGGCCCCTGCAGTGCATCTCTTCTGATTTCAAAAATTTACATGCTTTACCCAACCATAAATAACAACATCAGAATTTTATCTGTTTGTCTTTGTTTTCGAAGAGATAACTTTGGTTTTGTTGATACTCTGGGTTGATTCTCATGAAATCCTGCTATTACTTTTGTCATCCTCTTCCATTTTCTCTGGGTTTATTCCAATGTTCTTTTTCTAGTTTGTCGGGTTAGGCACGTTACACACGCACACACTCACACACACACTCACACACTCACAGCCACACACTTCTCTGCAGATAGTGTTTTAGTGTCTCCCATAAGTTTAACAAGGAGGGGTTTCATCGCTGTTAGGTCCTAACTATTTTCACATTTCCATTATAATTTCCTCTTCTTAATTTTTTTCCTTTCCCTTTTTAAACTTTTTTGGTAGTGGTGATTGAACACAGTGCCTTGCCCTTGCGAGGCAGGCACAGCGCCACTGAGCTAAATCCCCAGCCGTCTTCCTAATTGCTTTTATTGCTGCGTGTTTACATTACCCGTGTGGAGTTGTTCACAAGACGTCTTCACCCCTTTTCACATCTCTTTGCCTCTCTCTTCTCCTCCCTCCATTGCTTGGTCCCTTTCCCATGTAAGGAAGCTCTCTCCACACCTCCTGCTATCCATCTTCATTTAGCTTTTTATTTCTAATTTGAGTTACTAGCATACGGTATTTTGCTTGTGTGTCTGATTGGGTTCACTGGACAGTGTGGCCTCCAGGGGCACCCATTTCCCTACAAATAGCCAAGTTTATCTTTATGGCAGTGTAGTACTCCTTTGTGTGTAAATCTCATACTGTCTTTATCCTTTCATCTATTGATGGACATATAGGCAGCTTCCAAGATTTACCTCCTATGAACTGTGCTGATTTATACACAGATAGGCATGGGTCACTATCATATGGCTTCTTTAGCTCTTTTGGGCAGATACCTAGAAGGGGAACAGTGGGGGTCACAGGGAGTTTCTAGCCTTAGCTTTTTGAGCAGTCGCCGTGGTGATGATATCCACAATTGTACTATTTAATTTATTTATTTATGTATTTATTTATTTTGAGACAGGGTCTCACTCTGTAGTTGAAACTGACCTGGAACTCGCTATGTAGCCCAGGCTGGTCTCGAACTCTCAGCGATCCTCCTGCCTCAGCCTCCCGAGTGCTGGGATTACAGACGTGCGCCACCACACAATTGTACTGTTTTATGTTTCCTCCAGCAGTGTAGGAGGCTTCTTTTCCCCTGAATCCTCACCAGCCTTTGTCATTATTCAAGTCATGAACTTCTTAGATTGAAGTTTCCAGATGTGTAGAGTGTCTGTGTTTCCTTTCTAGGGCTTTCTACACATATGGGTTAAAGTTTGATTCCCAAAGACAAAGTGAACCATATGTCTTTTTGGCAAAACTCAGCTATCAAAAAAAATTTAAAATTTATCTGAAGCACTGAATCTGCTGGAAGATAAAAACAGGTAAATCTCTGTTCTTTTCACTTCTTATTTTAAATAGGTAAAATTCTTGAAGGCATAGGCAAGGACTTTCTGGACAGACCCGAATCAAACAAGAAATGACATCAAGAACCAACAAATGGGTCACATTGACTTCAAAAGCTTCTGTACACCATAGGAAACCCTAAAAAAGTGAGGACACAACCTACAGCATGGGGAAGATATTGCCAGCTATTCCTTGGATGGAGGACTCATATGTAGACTACGTAAAGAACTCAAAAAAAAAAAAAAAATTAAACCCCCCTCAAATAAAGGACTCGATTAAAAAAATGGGCAACTGGAATGAATAGACCCTTCTCACCAGCACAAATGGCCGGTGGACACAAGAAAACATGTTCAACATCGCTGGCCGTCAGACAAATGCAAATTCAAAGGACACCGAGATTCCATTTTGCTCCAGAAGGAACGGCCGTTGTCAGTAATGACGAACCATGGCGAGGCTGCAGGGGAAAAGAAACCTTTGAGACTGTTGGTGGGAGTGTGAACTGTACAACCGCAGATAGCAGCACAGACCTTCCTCAGAAAACTAAAGCTAGAAATTCCCTTTGACCCATCTGTCCCCCTTCTAGGGATCTGCCCCAAAGAGCTAAAGATACCATATTACAGTGAGCCATGCAGCCCTATGCTCACAGCAGCAGGATTTAGCATAGCTCAATGTATCACAGCTAAATCTGGGAAGCAGCCTATATGTCGGTCGACAGAGGAGAGGATAAAGAGGTTGTGGTATTTGTACACAGTGGAGTATTACTCTGCCATAAAGAAAGACAAACTTGAATTATTTGTAGGAAAATGGATGCTCCTGGAGGCCATAATGGTAAGTGAAACAAATCAGGGTCAAGCTTAAATATTGCACGGTTTCCTTTAGCGTGTGAGAAAACCAAAGTATAAATAGCAAAATAAAAGACAAATAATAGGCCGGGTGTGGTGCCACACGCCTGTGATCCCAGTGCTTGGGAGGCTGAGGCAGGAGCATCACGGTGAGTTTGAGGCCAGCCAGGGGTATGTAGTGAGTTCAAGTTCAACCTGAACTACACAGTGAGACCCTGTCTCGAAAAAACTAACAAATACATAAATATTGGAGAGTTTTTTTACAAATGGCAGGGGGACCAGGAGAGGGAGTGAGGCGGAGGAAAGCTACAACCCAGTAAATACTTTTAACACGTGCCGAGTGTTGTGTCCAGGCTTTACCGGGTGTCCCCGCGGCCCGTAGGTGCACAGGGCCCCCGGAAACCTTTACCGGGACCTGAGAGGTTGGAGGAAAGTCTCCGTCCGAGTGACTGCGGGGGACACGAGAGAACCACAGGACCCAGAGGAGCTCGGGCAACAGGGCCGGAATGGATGCATCGAACCCCGCCCCGCCGCCCCCGGTTGGAAACCACAAGGGGGACCTGCGGGCCAGAGGGGCCACGTGCGGGACATGG